AAGGAAGAGGCGAGCAGGGCAATGGCCCTCGCGACAGCAGCCATGCAGGCTGCCGAACAGGAGATCCAGACGTTCCAGGCCAACGTCGAGGAGCTCGAGCGCTCCATCGCCGCACATGGCGAGCTGGAGCCCCCCGCGGGCTCGCCTCAGGAGGCGGCCGATCTCGCCCAAGCCCTGGACGCGATCACTGTCCAGCTCAACTCGCTCACGAAGACGCTCAACTCCGACGTGCACGTGAACCCTGCCCGCACGCAGGAGACCGACGCCCACGTCCAGTGCCTGCTGACCGGACTCGCGCAGGCCATCAAGATCGCGGAGGGGGCCAACGTGCCGCGGCGCCACGGACATTCAACCACGCGCAGAGGGCGGTGGGGGGAGGGGGGAGGGCTTCGTAGAAACACCCCTGCTTCTTAGAAGGCGCGGGTCTTATCTATAGATGTAAGGCCGGCGCCTTCTCAGAAGCAGCCTGCCTCTAAGAAGCCTTCCCCCCTCCCCCCACCCCCCTCTGCGCGCCGCCAAGACACCTCCGACGGCCTGGAGCTCCACCGGGTCAGGCACCATGGCAAAGCAGCCGCCAGAGCGACAGTCCGCGCTGCTCCGGCACGGCGTCGTGCGGAAGATTACCAAGCCAGAAAAGCTAAGATCTCCTGCGCTCGACGCGGCCAGCCCCGTGGGTTGCGAGCGACAGGTCGACGTAGCCACTGGAAATGTCAGCACACGCTACCCTAAATAATGTTCAATGGCTGAGACGAGGGGCTCATTCGGCCTCATGCCTGGCAAAGTCCAACGCCTTGAACTGGACCGCGAGAAGCTTGGCATGGACGTTCTCTGCGTCCAAGAGGGGCGCGCGCCAGTGCAAGAAGTACGTGAAGGAGTTCACTACACCATGTACGCCGGTGCGGCCGACGCGCACGGAATGTCTGGCTGCCAGATCTGGATCGCTCGTTCTCTGGACTGGCACTTGCATCAGGTTCGCCACGTCGGCCCCCCTGACCTCCCTTGCCATTGGCAAGTCTGGTAAGCTTAGCACTGGGATCATCGCTATTGCCGCACATGCCCCGACTGAGGCATCGACGGCGTCAGTCAATAACCGGTTCTGGGACGAGCTTGATCGAGTCACGCTGGAGGCCAAGCGCAATTTCCCTGCGTATATTTGCGTTTCCGGCGTTGACGCCAATGGCCGTGTTGTCCTGACAACCGCCATGTTGGCTTTTGCGAACCTGACGTGGTGACCGACGACGGCCTGCGACTCACGCAGCACATGCACACTTGAGAGTCCATGGCAGCCAACACGCACTACCCAGCCGGGTACACGTGGCGGTCCAAGCACGGGACCACACGCAAGATAGATTACGTTCTGATTGACCTCCGACACGTTGGGGGCCTCATCACGTCGTACGTCGCTACAGATGTGGTCCTCTCCTACACCCAGACAGAGGACCACCGACTGGTCGTCGCCTCCGTGCGTGTTCCTCGACCTCGCAGCGGCGGTGGTGAGCCCGCGAAGCCGTCAGGCCGGGGAATGTTCAGAGTACCCGCCACGGTGGGCAAGCCGTGCTGCCTGGGCCCACCCGCTCCGCTAGGGTGTACAGAGTGGTCAGTGGCACCCCCTGGTCTGAGGTGAGCGTTGCCAATGACGTTCGCGGAGGCAACGCCCCCCCACCATCCCGCTGCCGCGCACTCCCCTGCGCTGGCCGGGGTCGTGGGGGCCCTCCCCTCCCCCGTCTAATTCGGTGCAGGTACAAAAAAAACAGTGGTGAGCCCGCGCCATTACGGAGGGGGCGCATTAACAAGGCTGCCGCTGCTGATGAGACCAAGTGCGAGACGTTTCAGTCCCGCATGTGGGGTTACCTACCCCCGCCGGGGGCCACGTCTACAGCATTGGTTGCGCACTTCACCGAGCACGTCTACAGTTCTGCCCTCTGGGTGTTCGGCTTCTTCAAGAACGCCCCCCGGCAGCCGTGGATCACCGCCGCGACTTGGACCACAGTGCGCCGACTGGCGCCGCTCCGGCGTCTGGCCGGCGCCATGCGGCCATTGGCACATCGTGCTCGTCTCCGAGCTGCGCTGTGCACCTGGGCTGGCCAGGCCCATCAGGAGTTCAACCCTCTCCGGCCCGGAATGGCTGGCCGCCTTGGCTGGCGCGCGGTTTGCGCTCTGTCGGAGGCCCGCAGACGCGCGTTCAAGCTCCGGCTGATCTCCAGTGCGCTCCGGGCGGCGGCCGCTCGCCTCCAGCACAAGATTAAGCCATCTGTGAAGGCTGATCGGATCGCTTTCACCCAGAGCAAAGTGGCGGAAGCGCAGGCGGCGGCTGCGCGGGGAGACGCGCGCACGATGCATGCAATTGTCCGTGCCTTGGGAGGGCGATGCCGGTCGAGGCAGCCCGCCCACGTCGACCGCGAAGTCCGACGGTACTGACCACGTCCGAACCTGAGCGGCAGCAGCGGTGGCTGGATCACTTCACTGACGCGTTCGCCGGCAAGCCCCTGACCGTGGGCGA